CACCATCGTAAGAATACTTAAAAAGAAGGTATTTTAAGTTTTAAATAACATTCCTCAGGAATGGCTCTTTTGAGCTTTAATTAATTTCGGATGACAAAAAAAAAAAAAAAAAAAAAAAGGTATTTTAAGTTTTATAATGTCAAAAGAAATACAAAATAAAATAATTCAAACAAGTCTTAAAGTGGACCAAACACCAATTTTAAAAGCCTAATAAGTCTAGTCTTATAGATGTAAGTAAATCTCATGATGTCCATTATTCACGCTTCCCTCTAATTTTTGTTTTGGCATGCGCATTGGACAAAATTTCGAATTTTTATTTATTTGTTTTTGCATTTTTTCTAATTTTATTTAGTAATTAAATAAAATGGAGAGATATTATTATCAAAAAACATGGTGATGCGTTTAGACAGAGAGAAGAAGAAGAAACCCTAGAAACCAAAAGACGAATCGTGGATCTTCCGCCCACTCGCTTCCTCAGATCGCGTGAACACCACTCACCAATTTTTCTTCTCTTTCTCTCTTCTTCTTCTCTATCTCCCTTTTCGCAGATCGATACCCGATTGGCGCGTGTCTTCTTCTTCTTCCTCCTCTCGACGACGACGAGGTTAAAGAGACGGCCTTTTTCTCAGTTTCTGTTTCGTACGAGGTAAAGTTTTCATTTTTCTTTGTTTTTGTTTTGTAGTGAGAACCACAAAAATGATGGGTTATATACAGTGTTTTGATCAGCTTCGTTTTCAATCAGTTTTATGAATTGGATTTGAGAATTCGTTTATGTGATGAAATACCCACTAAGAATTTAGCTGCAAGTTCCTTTTTTTCTGCAATTGTAAGGACAAAATGTATATACTTTCTCGATTTATAATCATAGAAAGGTAGAATTTTGATGGATTCTCTGATTAGTTTTATCTTTTGTGTGTGATTTAGTATACATTTTGACCTAAATATATGTACTCATACCTAGATTTTGTCAATGAAACTTTTGCAGTGTTGTAGCAAGTTTGAGAAAAGAGGAGAAATTCTTTCTCATGGATATAGATCTTCGACTACATTCAGGTGACCTTTGCAAAGGAGATGATGAAGATAGAGGACTTGATAATGTGTTGCACAATGAACACAAACTTCATGATGCTGATGAAGAAGATATGGATATTGGCAAAATTGAGGATGTTTCGGTTGAGGTTAATACTGATGACAGTGTAGGCATGGGTGTTCCAACTGGGGAGTTGGTTGAGTACACTGAGGGTATGAATCTTGAACCTCTTAATGGTATGGAGTTCGAGTCACACGGTGAAGCGTATTCGTTTTACCAGGAGTATTCTCGAGCTATTGGCTTTAACACTGCGATACAGAACAGTCGTCGGTCGAAAACTACAAGAGAGTTTATTGATGCGAAGTTTGCCTGCTCTAGGTATGGTACCAAAAGAGAATATGACAAATCTTTTAATCGGCCACGAGCTAGACAAAGCAAGCAAGATCCAGAGAATATGGCTGGTCGGCGAACATGTGCGAAAACCGACTGCAAAGCTAGTATGCATGTTAAGAGAAGGCCAGATGGGAAATGGGTAATTCACAGCTTTGTTAGGGAGCATAATCATGAGCTCTTACCTGCACAAGCTGTGAGCGAACAGACTAGAAAGATATATGCTGCAATGGCTAAGCAGTTTGCTGAATATAAAACTGTTATCAGCCTTAAAAGCGATTCGAAAAGTTCTTTTGAAAAAGGTCGGAATTTATCGGTGGAAACAGGGGATTTCAAAATCTTGCTTGACTTCTTGTCACGGATGCAAACTTTGAATTCCAACTTCTTCTATGCGGTAGATCTGGGCGATGATCAGCGAGTGAAGAATGTATTTTGGGTAGATGCAAAGAGCAGGCATAACTATGGCAGTTTTTGTGATGTTGTTTCTCTAGACACCACCTATGTGAGAAACAAGTACAAGATGCCACTTGCTATTTTTGTTGGAGTGAACCAGCACTACCAGTATATGGTCCTTGGGTGCGCCTTAATATCTGATGAGAGTGCAGCAACATATTCTTGGTTAATGGAGACCTGGCTGAGAGCGATGGGTGGACAAGCTCCAAAGGTTTTGATCACTGAGCTAGACGTTGTAATGAACTCCATTGTTCCCGAAATCTTCCCCAATACACGGCATTGCCTTTTTCTTTGGCATGTATTGATGAAGGTTTCTGAGAATCTTGGTCAAGTTGTTAAGCAACATGATAATTTCATGCCAAAGTTTGAGAAGTGCATCTATAAATCAGGGAAAGATGAAGACTTTGCGAGAAAATGGTATAAGAATCTTGCTAGATTCGGCCTCAAAGATGATCAATGGATGCATTCTTTATATGAAGACCGCAAGAAATGGGCACCAACCTACATGACTGATCTTCTTTTGGCTGGGATGTCTACATCTCAGCGAGCTGATAGTATTAATGCTTTCTTCGACAAGTATATGCATAAGAAGACTAGTGTACAAGAATTTGTAAAGCTTTATGATATAATTTTGCAAGATAGATGTGAAGAAGAAGCCAAAGCTGATTCTGAAATGTGGAACAAGCAGCCAGCAATGAAGTCTCCATCGCCATTTGAGAAGAGTGTTTCTGAAGTCTATACTCCTGCAGTATTCAAAAAGTTCCAGATTGAAGTTTTGGGTGCGATTGCGTGTAGTCCCAGGGAGGAGAACCGAGATGCCACATGTTCTACTTTTAGAGTCCAGGATTTTGAAAACAACCAGGGCTTTGTGGTAACATGGAACCAAACAAAGGCTGAAGTCTCTTGCATCTGTCGGTTATTTGAGTATAAAGGGTATCTCTGCAGACACACTCTTAATGTTCTTCAGTGTTGTCATCTTTCTTCCATCCCCTCGCAGTACATATTGAAACGATGGACGAAAGATGCAAAAAGCCGGCATTTTTCAGGAGAACCTCAGCAGTTGCAGACTAGGCTGCTCCGGTATAACGATTTGTGCGAACGAGCATTAAAGCTGAATGAAGAGGCATCCCTCTCTCAAGAGAGTTACAGTATTGCATTCCTTGCTATTGAAGGAGCTATAGGAAACTGTGCTGGTATTAATACTTCCGGCAGAAGTCTTCCAGATGTTGTAACGTCACCAACTCAAGGTCTGATTTCTGTCGAGGAGGATAATCAGAGCAGAAGTGCAGGCAAAACCAGCAAGAAAAAGAATCCAACTAAGAAAAGAAAAGTAACTTCTTGTTTACGGTCTCTCTGTGCAGACAGCTTACAGATTTTGTTAGCTTTTCGCTTTTTGATTTGCAAGTCTGATGATACCAAATACTAATTGCAGGTGAACTCAGAGCAGGAGGTTATGCCAGTTGCAGCGCCAGAAAGCTTGCAACAGATGGTCTGTCTTTGTTGACATGTCATAGCAAAACTCTGTTAAACTTAAGTCGCCTATGTACATATTTCATATCTGAATTTTGTAATTGCAGGATAAGCTGAGCCCAAGGACGGTTGGCATAGAAAGCTATTATGGAACACAGCAGAGTGTACAAGGAATGGTAATTAAGCTCAACATACGTTCATATTATTCTCTTATACATTGAGATATGTAATCTGTTCTAATGTGTTTTTTTTACAGGTCCAGCTGAACTTAATGGCGCCAACTCGTGATAATTTCTACGGGAATCAACAAGCAATTCAAGGATTGGTACGAAATCGACCATGACATATGTGTAAAAGTAGCTTCTGCTGTTATTATTTCATTACCTTTGGATAAAAAAAAAACAATTCCTGCTGTTTTTTCTGTAGCGACAGTTGAACTCGATAGCACCAAGCTATGACAGTTACTACAATCCTCAGCATGGCATCCATAACCAGGTACCTACCTACCTATTCTCAATGCTTTCACGATTTTTGTTAATCTTTTAATAAAACTGCCAAAAAAGTAAAAATAAATCAATTAACATTCTTACTTTGTTCTCTCTAGGGAGTAGATTTCTTCCGGCCTCCCAATTTTCCTTACGATATCCGGGTAAATATTTCATTTGTAATCAAAGATTTATCTCTTTTTCTTTTCCTGTTTGTATCAATTGGTCATCTTGTTCATGGTGACTTCTGTACAGGATGATCCTAATGTGAGGACTACGCAGTTGCACGAGGACGCATCTAGACACTCGTAAACCAAACTATAAGCTAACCACGAATCAAATCTTAGAGTCGTCAGTCTGTGGATGAAAGATTCAAATCTCAGAGAACAGAAGCCAACGAGCACTAGAACGCGGTCAGGTTTGGAACAGAACACGAGACAAAGCTCTGTTTTATCTTCTCAAGTGTTAAAAAATAGGATGTTGTATTGTTTCGCCTATATTCTCAGAGATTCGATTCTGTTAATATTGTTTGTATTAGTTGTGATGATCATATGTTGATCATATACTGCTCGATTTAAGAGGTGAAGAAACAGTGTTACAAGAATATTCTCTATTTGTAAAAACTCTTGTTAATTCTTTTGATTAGGTTTCTCAAATTTGTATCTTGTGATTAATCTTGCCCTAAATTACAGACAAAATGGTGTATATCATTAGCGGTTTAAGTCTTGTTGAATATCATTATCCTTTAATAGAAAAAATCTAAAGTACTTTAATAAACCGTAATCTGTGAAATATGAGAAGGTATTTAGAATCACAAGTAATCTCTTGTATATTAAATACCCATATCTATGTTGTTTATAAAAAACTTAGATCTTTTGTTATTTACCAAAGCACCTCAGATTTTTTTTTATACCATTTATTGAAGTACCACAGATCTTTCGATATTTACTGGAAATATCTAATACCTTTTGGACGGAATCCAAATCTTTTTGTATTTACAAAATAGCCCAGAATTTTGAGCGTTGAGTTTTTTCCTAATTATCAAGATACCGAGGAACTTTTAGAGGGAGCCCGAAATGAATCTTTTGATATTAAGAAAAACATGAACATGAATAATTCAACTCAGAACTTTTTATTTATATGTAAATAAAATATTTGACTTACAAATTCTAAAAAAAAAAAAACAATGTAATAACTGATAACAAGAAACTTTACAAGTTTACAAACTGACGCTCAAAAATTACATTGCAAAGAGAATATTTAAAACAAGGATTACAACAAGAACAAGGATATCCGAATTACAAATTCTATAGCAAAAAAAAAATAAAGCTTAAAAATGACATCACTGATAACAAGCAACTTTACAAGTTCACTGACGCTCAAAATACATTGCGAAAAGAATATTAAAACAAGAATTGAGTTAAAATTATACAAGTCATTGTGAAAAAATCAAAATCAACATTGTGTTGCAGAGGAAGCAAACTCTATGTGATCGTGAAGTTGTGGAGTTTACGTGATCGTGAAGTTGTGGAGTTTATGCGATCGTGACTCGTGAACGTGAAGTTGTGGAGTTTATGCGATCGTGATTCGTGAACATGAAGTTGTGGAGTTTATGTGATCGGGAAGTTGTGGATTTTATGTGATCGTCATTCGTGAACGTGAAGTTGTGAAGTTTGTTTTTGCATTTTTGTGTGCAAATGGATTTTTTGTTGTGTGTGTTTTATGTTTTCGTGGGTTTGTGTTTTAAAATTTAATGTTGATGTGTTTGTGTTTTTTCTTATGAGAGGTAAAAGACAGTTACCGTAACTCAGTTACATCATCCAAGAGCCCCTTGTTCTTGGCTACATGTCATCTCCAAATTTATATTTATTGCTGCTCCTGAAAATATTAAATTATTTTGTTATGTAATTTGAGCAAGATAAAATTAATACAATCAAATTATAGGCATAGCCAAAGAAATAAAACTTACTAAACCAATATTCCCAGACGAAGTTGCTTACTAGCTTCTCATTCATACCTTTAAGTTTTAACCTGGACAAAGTTTCAAACGACAAATAAATTTCACATCCGTTGAAACTTTAACGACTAAAAAAGCGGGTAAGAAATACAAACCGTGAAATCAAATTACCTTAACAGTAAGTACTAAAAAATGAGTGTTGTAAGTTGCCATTGGCCATGTACTCGTCGATGAGAGCCAGACTGCTACCATCATCGCAGTATCCAATAAACTAAGCTAAGTTCCGTAGATGCACTGTCAAAAGAAGCTCTGCCTAAAAACAATGTCTAAACTTATCTGATTTCCGTTTCTAATGTTTTTGCTGTTCTTACCAAACCCTCCTTTACCGATCACTTTTGAAGTTGTTTTTAATGCTACATGTGAACCTTCTCTTTCCCGAAGGCAGAAGTGGTCCTGAATAAGCTCCTGAATACACTCATTTTCTTTCAGCATTAATTCTGACGTTTATCAACCAAATTATGTAAAAGACCAACTGTGCTTACTTATTTTTGTTACCCTTACCATGATGCATATCACAACCACAACGACAATGAGAATGATCACTATTGTGGCTACAACTATTGGCACGACGAATCTGAACGTGGGTGACAAATGCTTTGTTCATCCACATTGGAAACAGAGAGGAATTTAACAAGCATCAGAAAATGGTAGAGACACAGATTGTCTTAAGAAGATGACTATGGTTCCGGGGTTTTGACAAAAAAATGTACCTCTCAGTGCAAGTCCACTAGCCATTGTTCTTTTCCTAAGAGATCTTGGGACAAACCCAGTCAAGTTATCTTCTTTTAAATTCCTGTGACAGAAACAAATGTCTGAGAGAAATACATTATCAAAATGTCTGTCAAACGAAAAGCCTCTCTATGTGCTCAACCTTAAAGAACTTCACAATCAGCCAAAAATTCCCTTCTTAGGTTGTTGTTTTATGAATCCCTGGGAAAACAATGCACACGACTCTTATATTTAATGTGAATAAAGAGGTGGATAGTCTAAGAATGGAGAGATTTCTAAATGAGACGGCTATTGGTCCTTGTAACCCACTTGAACTAAGATTCATTCATCAAGAAAAACAAGCTCATCAGCAGAATTATCCTTGAGGGAAACTACAAAAAAATGAGTTATTGTCTGGTTGAAATGAATGACTTACATGGAGTTGATTTGGTAATTAGAAATACTTTCCCAAGGGAGTCTTTGAGAGAAAGGATCACCAGTCCAAACCTTATTCACTTTATACGTTGATTTTATACTTTCAATGGTGTGAACTGCATTAACAAGAGAAAAAGGATAACCGTGAGTTTCAGTATAAATCAAGTTCGAGGCCAATGCAATGGAAAACGAAAAACAAGGACTTACATGTAAAACTCTTATCAGATATAAATGATAATATACATGTTTCTCTTTTTCTGCATCGTCGAGTTTCTGAAAGCAAGCTAGGAAATAAAACGAAGAGAGATTTCTGTCGGAAAAACTTGATCAGTGAAACATGAATCCTTAAAAAGCCAATTTATAAAACAAGTACCTGGTCACCAAATTTCGTAGCACCCTGGGAACAGAACATGACTCTATCTATTGTTTTCATAAAGAAAACGTCGGAGCTTTTCCATTGCAATGGCCTCCATTGAATTCATACCCAATCCAGAAAATGAAAAACAAGGACTTATAGTGACTTGGGGACTGTAAATTCTTACCAGATAGAAATGATGAATACCTGCTTCTCGTTTTCTGCATGTATAATGCAAATATTTGCAAGTATATTATATCTATCTATCATCATCAAATTCTCAACACCAGGACTTTCGACCTAAACATGTAGCACATTCAGAAACTAATTGAAAGCAAGCTAAGAAGATCTCAGTTGTCTCCTGATTATTTCTCTCACCTTTACAACAACATCCCTCTTGTCCCCCACTATTGCTCGGTGTGCCTAAATATAAGCAAAAAGGAAGTGAAAATATATGTTTTAGTTGCATCTTTACTCATTATTATTTTCTTTCACAAACTAAACCGCAAGTGCATTGTAGTTGTAATGCTTTACCAATTCGTTACAAAAGCTTACCTTCTTTAAGTCTCTTTATCAACTCCTTAATAGATACATCATCAGACTCACACAAAGTTATTTTTACACATCAATTAAGCCAATTAAAAGGACATTAGACATAAATAATGAACAAAAGAACAATGTCAACTTAATTATGAGAAAAAGAAAACACAATACTATACTATTAAGCACTACCATTCTCTAATTTTGAGGCAGAATTTGGATACCCTGTCGGAGCTATCCTCTGAATAAATGGAAGATCATAGCTGAAACCTCTGAATACTTAGAACATATAATTAGTTTTATATAAAGTTACATTAATTCTAATAGAAAAGAGTTTAAAATGATGAAAAAGGTTTAACAAGATTACCGTGTCATTCATGAGTATATTGAAACGTATCTGAAACTTTTGCTCTTTCTTATGAAAACCTGGTTTAAACTGCAAACAATGCTCGTGTACACGAAAGCATTTTCAAATATATAAGTTAATACATGCTATACTAAAGCAAGTAGAAAGAAAGTAAGAGATATGGGAACAGTCACAACGCAATTTCTTGCCATCAAATGTGATTATTCACAATTTTTGTTAAAAACTTCCTGTGAAATTTTGTTTTCTGTTTCTTCAAGTTGCGTTTGGACGTTGTGTGCTATATTTTTTGTTTGTGCGTTTCAATTTCGTTTTGTGTGTGTGATTTTTTTTTGTGTATGTTCGAGTGTGGGTTTTCGTGGATTTATGTTTTGTTTTTTGTTTCTTTAAGTTGCATTTGGACGTTGTGTGCTATGTTTTTTGTTTGTGTGAATTTCGTTTTGTTTTTTGTGTGTTTGATTTATTTTTTTGTGCGTTAAAGTGTGGGTTTTCGTGGATTTATGCTCTATTTTTGAGACAGTGCCAGACATGATAAGTGGGAGAGAGAGAGAGCTACTTAACCATACCTTTGTTGGCTACTGAACTGTCTTCAAAGCTTCTTTGCAGCTAAACAATCCTTCATCTTGAAACCCCTTGTCAAAAGTTCCATTTCTACTTTAAAAAAGCTCTTGAAACCAAAGAACCTTGTTAATAACAAGCAGCTTAGACATAGAAAGTGACAAAAAATATTTACAGAGAGGAAATTGACAAGATGACTATGGTTCCGGGTTTTGACAAGAAAATGTACCTCTCAGTGCAAGTCCACCAGCCATTTTTTCCTAAGAGATCTTGGGACAAACCCAGCCAAGTTATCTCCTTTCAAATTTATGTGACAAATACATTATCAAATGTCTGTCAAACGAAAAGCCTCTTTATGTGCTCAACCTTACAGAACTTCAGATATTTTAGATAATCCAAAAAATCCCCTCTCAGGTTGTTGTTTGATATCCCTGGGAAAACAATGCACATGACTCTTATATTTATTGTGAATAAAGAGGTGGAAAGTGTGTGTGTATGGCTTGCATTTGTATACTTACAATGACTCAAGGAGGGAGAGATATCTAGAGGAGAAGGTTATTGGTCCTTGTAACCCACTTGAACTAAAATTCATTCTCGCATCAAGAAAAACGAAAACAAGCTCATCAGCAGAATTATCCTTGAGGGAGATTACAAAAATGAGTTATTGTCTGGTTGAAATGAATGACTTACATGGACTTGATTTGGTAATTAGAAGTACCTTCCCAAGGAAATAGTCTTGGAGAGCAAGGATCACCAGTCCAAACCTTATTCACTTTATACGTTGATTGCTTTCTATGGCGTGAACTGCATTAACAAGAGAAAATGGATAACTGTGAGTTTGAGTATAATTCAAGGTTTGAGGCCAATGCAATGGAAAATGAAAAACAAGGACTTCCATGTAAAATTCTTACCAGATAGAAATGATAAATAAATGCTTCTCTTTTTCTGCATCATTGAGTTCTCAATTCCAGGTCTTTGAACCTAAAGCACTTTCAGAAACTAATTGAAAGCAAGCTAAGAATATTCAGTTGTCTCACCTTTACAAAAACATCCCTCTTGTCACCCACTCTTGATCGGTGTGCCTAAACAGAAGCAAAAAGAAAGTGAAAATATATGTTTTGGTTGCATCTTTATCTCAAATAGTTTTGACCTAAGAAAATGCTTTATCAATTCCTTACAAAAGCATACCTTCTTCAAGTCTCTTTATCAACTCCTTAATGATACATCAGCAGGCTCACACAAAGTAATTCCTGCAACTTACAAAAGGATATTATACACCAAATTACGAACAACGTCTACATCAAACAGACAGAACCACACAACTTATTTATGAGAAAACACAATACTATAAAGCACAAACCTTCTCTAATTTTGATACCCGGTCGGAGCTATCCTCAAAATAAAGGGAAGATTGTAACTGAAACCCCTGAATAAATATATTAATGTAGTGTAACATGATTACCTTATCATTCATGATTACCTGCAACGCATCTGAAACTTTTGCTCTTTCTTATGGAAACCTGGTATTAACTGCAAACCATCCTCATTTACACGAAAGCATTTTCAACTATATAGCATGTTTGCATTTCGCTTCAAGAAGAAAATAAGTTAATATAAGCTATACTAAACCAAGTAGATAAGAAAGTAAGAAACAAGGGAACAAAGCATGTTTATGACATCAAATGTGATTATTCACACATTTTGTTAAAACATTTCTGTGAAAGCTTGATTTCTATTTTTGAAGTTGCGTTTGGATGTTGTGTGCTATGTTTTTGTTTGTGTTACTTTTAATTAATTATTGTGTGTTTGATTTTTTTTTTGTACGTTCGAGTGTCAGTTTTCGTGGATTTATGTTCTGTTTTATGTTTCTTGGTGTTGCATTTGGACGTTTTGTGCTATGTTTTTTGTTTTTTTTTTGGTGACTTTTAATTAATATTTTTGTGTTTGATTTTATTTTATTTTGTGTGCGTTTGAGTGTGTTTTCATGAACTTATGCTCTGTTTTCGAGACAGTGCAAAAGACATGATAAGTGAGAGACTTAACCATACCTTTTTTGGCTACTAAATGGTCTTCAAAGCTTCTTTGCAGCCAAACAATCTTTCATCTTGAAACCTTTGTCAAAAGTTCCATTCCAACTTAAGAAACCAAAGAACATTTGTTAATAATAACAAGCAGTTTAAACATAGAACGAATATTTGAATTCAAAAGATCATTAAAACCAAAAAATGACAAACTTACAGAATCCTCCCTGTCGACATTTGGTTGCTTCCTCAGCTCATATTATCTTAACGGTAATATACATTGTTGGAAGCTGCTGGAAATTGCAAGTCGGCTTCATCTTCTCTAGTTCACCTTATCTAGTTCTTATTCAAAGATACAAAAAAAAACAGACAAACGTTTTGTAAGAGATATAGAATGGTACAGAAGTAAACATTTTTGGGATAGTGCAAGCCTCTCTATCCTACGTGTCTAATTGCGGTAAAGGAGAGAGAGGAAGAGACTTGACCTTAACATTTGTATGTCTTGGCTAGCGAATAGTCTCCCTTTCGTTCTTTGCAACTTAAGGATCTCTTCACTTGTAAGCAATGACCTTTATTAGTAAAGACCCTTTTTCACAAGTGTTTTTAGCTCTGAAATGGAGATATAGGAGTGTGGGCACCGGATAAGGCGACAATGTCCTTTTCAGAGAAGCCCATCTGCTTAGCAAAGACATCTCTCAAGTGATCAAAACCCTTTGTAGCATCAGGAAGACGACCCTCTGGAGGTGGCTGGGGCTTGTCCTGAAAGCAAGATGTGCATGTTAGAAACAGACAATCAAGTCCCACAGTGTTTCAGTATTACAAGTATTGAGAGAATGTGTAAATTATCAATTTGCCATCTCTAGAAAGAAAGCAGAACACACACTCTCAGCAATGACTAACCTCTCTTCAAGGGTAGAAAGGAATTTCAGGGCCACCAGTCTTCAGCAGCGACAACACCAGCAAGCTGAAAGATCAATTTCACACCAAAAGGACATCGAGAGTTAGAATCCAAACCCTGAAGTTATCACCATCAACCAATTAGTATTATTTTAAAATCTAAAATCAATCAGCAAAAGAGATAGTAAGTAATTGCTCCCTGATGGGGTCCAACAACCTAAGAGCAATGTGGATACCACTGTTGGCTCCATGAGCTTGCTCAGCATCAAACCTCATTGTTCCGAATGGACCTCCAGTCCTTGACTGACAATCGAAAGTTCCAGCAGAGTGCCATCTGCAGAACAAATCAGCCATGAGAACCTAAATACATTAGAAACCCCAGCCATTGTTCTTTTCCTAGGAGATCTTGGGACAAACCCAGTCAAATTATTTCTTTTCAAATTCATGTGACACAAATACATTATCAAATTTCTGTCAAAAGAAGTGGATAGTGTGTGTGTATGGCTTAAATTTGTATACTTACAATGACTCAGGAAGGGAAATATTTCTAAATAAGACGGCTATTGATCCTTGTAACTCACTTGATCTAAAATTCATTCTCGCATCAAGAAAAACAGAAACAAGCACATCAGCAGAATTATCTTTGAGGCAAATTACAAAAGTGAGTTATTGTCTGGTTGAAATGAATGTAAGCACTTCCACACCAGTCCAAACCTTATTCACTTTATACGTTGAATTTATGCTTTTTATGGCGTGAACTGCATTAAAAGAAAAAAGGAATAACTGTTGAGTTTCAGCATAAATGAAGGTTCAGAATCTAGAAAATGTTTTACCAATTAGTTACAAAAGTATACCTTCTTCAGGTCTCTTTATCAACTCTTTAATAGATACATCAGCAGGCTCACACAAAGTTATTCCTGCAAGTTATGCATCAATTAAGCCAATTGGAAGGATATTATACACAAAGGTAGGAACAATGTCTGCATCAAACAGACAGAATGCACAACTTAAATATGAGAATACACACTATAAAGCACTAACCTTCTCTAATTTTGATACCAGGTCGGAGCTATCCTCTGAATAAATGGAAGATTATAACTAAAACCCCTGATACTTCAAGTATGTATTAAAGTGGTTTTACATAAAGTCACATTGGTTCTAATAGAAAAGAGTTTAAAACGATGAAAAAGGTTTAACAAGATTACCTTGTCATTCATGAGTATATTGAAACGCATCTGAAACTTTTGCTCTTTCTTATGAAAACCTGATTTAAACTGCAAACCATCCTCGTGTATACGAAAGCATTTTCAACTATATAGCACATTTTCATTTCGTTTGAAGAACAGTCACAAAGCAAGTTCTTGCCATCAAATGTGATTATTCACAATTTTGGTTAAAACTTTCCTGTGAAAGTTTGTTTTTTGTTTCTTGATTGTGTGCTATGTTTTTTGTTTGTGTGTTTGAATTTCGTGACTTAAATTAGTTTTGTGTGTTTGATTTTCTTTTCGTGTGGGTTTTCGTGGATTTATGTTCTGTTTTCTGTTTCTTGATGCGTTTGAACGTTGTGTGCTATGTTTTTTGTTGGTGTGTTTGAATTTCGTTTTGTGATTTCGTGACTTTAAACTAGTTTGTGTGTTTGATTTTTTTGTGTGCGTTTGAGTGTTGGTTTTCGTGGATTTATGCTCTGTTTTTAGACAGTGCAAGAGACATGATAAGTGGGAGACAGAGGGAGCTACTTAACCATACCTTTGTTGGCTACTGAATGATTTTCCTTCATCTTGAAACCCTTCGTCAAAAGTTACATTTTGACTGAAGAAAGCTCCTACAACCAAAGAAAACTTGTTAATAACATGCAGCTTAAACGTAGAACGAATATTTAAAATTCAAAAGATCATAAAACCAAAATTGACAAACATACAGAATCCTCCCTGTTGACATTTGGTTGCTCTCCTCTGCTCAGATTTGTAAACAAGTAATATACATTGTTGGAAGTAAACGTGTTGGCTAGCAAATGGTCTCCCTTTTGTTCTCTGCACTTGAAAGCAATGACATTTATTAGTAATTCAGCAACTAATAGAGTAACATAAAGCGAATAAAATACAAAAAAGGCTTTAAACTATACAGAATCTTACAGTTTAACTATATCTTATATTCACGAGAAGTGGTATTAGCTCTGAAATGGAGAAATAGACAAACATTATATAGAGAATCAGGAAATATCTTAGGGACACGTTTAAAACTCCTAATCTAACCCTTCTTCATTGGATCTAATTATGTTTAAAACTCCTAATCTAACCCTTTTACAAAAGCAAACTATTGAAGTGGAGATAAGACAAAAATCATGTAGAGAATTAGGTAACAACTTAATGATTCTAAAACACTACAGCTAATAATCTCTAATTCCCAAAGAGAATTGTGAATTAGCAAAATTGAATATGAAATTAAGCCAAAGAACTGAACACCAAACAGAGAAAAATCATCACAAATAGTTCTAAATCGCTAGATTTTCTTAATCAAAACACATGTAACCAACGTTTTTCAAGAACCTACATGATTGAACCCAGAGAAAAAAACCTAGCAATAAACGGAGAAAAAATGAAGATCATCATCATCATTCATCACAATACTTCTAAATTCACTGACTCTTCTAAATCGCTAAAAGATTACTATAAATGAATCCAAAAAAAAAAAACCCGAAGAAAGGGGTTAGTGATAATCAGAAGGATTTGTGATAATACATTTGAAGCAACGGACCCAGATTCAATAATCGGAAGAGAATTATGAAGTAAAAGAAACAATCGATAAATAAATAAAAAACAATTAAAATCGATAAGAACTGGGTTTATTATATACCTGATACTTTTGCGTAATCGGAGGGTTTTCTGATTCAATCACACGCTTCTCTTGACGGCGGCGACAAGAAATTTCCCCCAAAATGCGATCGCATCCATCAGATTCATCACCGGCTGGAACCGAAGAAAGAGGTTAGTGATAATCAGAAGGATTTGTGATACATTTGAAGCAACGGACCCAGATTCAATAATCGGAAGAGAATTATGAAGTAAAAGAAACAATCAAAACAAACTTAAAATCGATTAGAACTGGGTTAATTATATACCTGATTCTTTTGCGTAATCGGAGGGTTTTCTGATTCAATCACACGCTTCTCTTGGCGGCGGCGACAAGGATTTTCCCCCAAAATGCGATCGCATCCATCAGATTCATCACCGGCTGGAGCCGAAACAGATTGATTCCGATCAGATAACTTTGATCGCGAAAGTAATTTGAAATCGTAGAGAAGAAGCTGTTTTCGAGTCGGTGATGAAATGAAAGAGAGGAAAATTTTCTATTTGTAGTGGTTGGTTAGGCCAATTAATACGAAATTACGAAAATGCCCTGGCTTATTCCGTTAGATCATTTGGATTTGAATTGAAATTAGATTTTTCCCCCCTAATCTGAACATTATGTCCGTTAAAAACAAAAATTCAAATTACTAGTTACAGATTTCGAATCACATGGGCAAAATCAGCTTTTGGCTAATACCGAGTTTAGTGTGATTTCCGGTTTATTTTGGTTTAATTAATACTATGACTCTTAGTCTAATACCGGGTTTAGTGTGATTTCCGGTTTGTTATTCATCCTCCAATTATTGTTTACCATTTTTTAAAATCACTCCCTAAAATTTCTAAGATTCCGTTTTTTCACCCTGTGTTTTCAATTTTGCATAATAACACCAGAGTTTTTCAACCCTCCTATGAGATAGCTGTGGATGTCAAAATTCACGCTACGTATATTTGTGTTTCTGTTAATAAATGATTAAAAAGAAGGAACTTTGATCAAGATTTAATCAATAGAAACTGAAATGAATAATTTTAGTGTTTTATTGATTTGGAAAGTAGTAAAGTACTAGTGCTAAAGAGTTAGAGAGAACTTGAGTATCAAGTAATAAGCTAAAGAGTTGTATTAGGGTTAAGGAACTTAAGTTTTTGCTTTCAAGGAAAGTTTACTTCAAAGCAAAGTCGGATTTCGCTGAAGAACATATTCTTGCATTAGGGTTTAAAGGAATTAATGTTCAACAGAAAAACTATGTATAATATAATGAAGTGATCTGCTGTAACTGAAATTGTCAAAAGTTTCCCTAAAGGATTATGATGCACAGTCGTTTGCCCATGGAGGAGGAACATTATGGAAGAGACTGAAACTTCATTTATTTAATGAGATTTTAACAAGCTTATGAGTCTGATCATAAACATAGTATTTGTTGAATAAAAAGTATCCTATAATTATCAAATTTATGTAAGTAAACACTACCCGTATCTCATACTTCTAGAAGTGTATATTTTTATTCAAAATTTGTAATTAACAAAAAAAAGAGAGAGAAGGATGATGTAGTACCTATTACGTATCACGACGTTAGAATCAGATTATGGTTTTCTTTGAAATTTCTCACTAGTTTCTTTTTCGGTCGTCTCCTTCATTCAAAAGTCACCTACCCGTCAATTAATTTATGTCCACTAAGTCCTAATAAATTACGTAAATGATACCTATACATTATGAAAATACTAGTAGTATCTAATCTTTCTTTAGTTTATTAACCAGACTGGTTTTAAAGAATCATTATCTTAACTAATCAATAGCCCTCAAGGGTTAAGAAAAGTGTCTATCATACTATACGTACTTCACATGACATATCTTGAATTTCCTACGAAATTTGATAATACATACACTTTTCTTTACATCATATGGTTACATTAACTATTCTTAGCCACAAGTTCTTGAATATTTTTCTTAATGACCTTCTAATTTCTTGACTATCATCATACAGAAAAATTATTTTTTAATAATCGGCTTGGACAATGATTAATACAAAGAGATCTTCCAAGCTTCTTAGGAAATTGGTGAAACAAACCGTAATCTACAACATCATTGGAAGCCGAGAAACAATCTCATTCACGACAAAAGGATAGATTAGTAGAGAAACTAATAGATTAGTACTCTGCAATACAATCACATACGGGAGACACAAGCGTTATTTTGTATATTTTATAGAATTGATGCCAAACTAGTTAATTACAACATTAATTATGATACGATTTATATGATACAACATTACTTTTTTTTGTAGTGATTAGGTTGCAATGACGATAAACATTTTGTTCCAACTCTATTTTTTCCTTGTTTTTTAATTTTTTTTTTTTGAATAAAAACAATTATATAGGTTTGTAACACCTCAATTTTTATTTTAATGAATATTAACATTTGTAGCACAAAAAAAAAAAGTCGTTTTCGGTGATTAATATGTCTATAGACTTCCCATATGTTATGGGTTGAACAAAACTTTCAGTGTACCATATTTTATTTACGTCGATGTTTATATATGATACACATGTATATAGTATATAGCAAATGTATGTCATTATTATCGTACGACCGTCATTATTTAATTCATGACATATAATTCATGAGTATCTAGTGTGCTATATAAAACGGCTACTACACTAAGCACTGAGCAGGCAAGAGGCAGCGTGATAATGAATATCTTAACGTTTCATTAGGACGATTATGCCGTCAGCTTTGTGACGATAATGTAAAGTGAGGGACTTATTAAGTATTTTAACAAAAGTATACACACAGTGAAATGGGCCAATTTCGTCAACTTGTTGGGAAAGTAGCCAATACCAAACTAAACTCTAGTTTATTGGTAAAATTCAACTAATTGTAACTTCTAAGGTCTATTATTTTATTGTTTTCCAAATTATGATATTATCGAATCAGATTAAACATATTAATGAAGTACGTTAAAAAAATTACAACTTTATTTTGCAAGTAGGATTGAAATCCAAAGCCAAAAAATCAATTGTAATTAAAAAAATCAACGGTCATGATTGATTTAGAATAGTCTTCCTTTGACTAAGTCTTAATCAAAACACAATCAAATAAATATATAAAGAACTAACGAAGGCAAATGCTTTTTTCTTTCTTACAATCTCACAGAGTCTTTCTTGTAGACACAAAAAAATGGCTAACCCCAACGAGTGGTCTCAGTTCTACAACAATAACCAAACTTTCTTCACAACTTCCACCACCGCTTCGACCGCTGTCACAACCACCACTGCCGGTGATACCACCTCCATAGACTCTCGTCTGAGTCCAGAAACTGGCCGTGTAACCAAGCCAACACGTAGAAGATCCAGAGCCTCACGTAGAACACCAACAACGCTTCTCAACACCGACACTTCCAACTTCCGTGCCATGGTTCAGCAATACACTGGCGGACCATCCGCGATGGCTTTCGGATCCGGCAGTACTACTTCTGGTTTCAGCCTCACCTCATCGTCGGATCCATCAGCTGGATCTTCTCAACAAGCTCTATGGCAATATAATTTCCAGCCTCACGCGCCGCTGCAGCCACCGCAACGGCCTTACATGTTTTCTTTGAACAACGTGAATCCCGTGGTTGGATATAGTAACATGAACAACCCTAATACGGTGGTTTCCGGTGTGTTTGGGACGGTGGATGGTTCTGGTGGAGGAGGTTCTGCACCGTCGTCTAAGGAGGCTACGAATAGTAATACTTCTTCTTCGAGGTTCCAATGAGAAAACGATTGGATTCTTTTTGAATTTGTTTTTTGGTTTTCGCATAAAGGCAGAAATGTTAGGTACTGACTTTCTTTGTCATAGAATGAAAACTTTGACTTTTGTATATTTAAGTTTTTTTCTTTCATATTTGTGATTTAATCCATTTTTTAGGCTTTTGGCATAAGTTTGTTTAATTATGGCGTTGTCATGGACCACAATATGCATATATTCAATGCTGAAGTTGCATGCTTGCATTCCAAATTGCAAAATTGTCCATTAGAAAAAGAAAAAAAAAAATGTTTTCCAAACATATCAATAGTATTTTTCCAAGAAAATAAATTTATCTTTCATATATGGAATTCATTTTAAAAAAAATTAGAAACATCAAACATTTTCACGTGAAGTTCTCAAGTGCATGTGAAAGACTATAATTCTCATACATTAGTCAAGGAAATGCATATAAAACGTGCAGAGAATGGAGGAAATTGGCAATTAGCTTATCTCCAACTTTTGTATTCTTATTGCATAGTATATATTGGGACACATGAAATTAATGTGAATGTAACTTTACCAAATTAGCGCAATAATTGAGAATATGAATCTTTATAATTTATTTTTCGTATGGCATGGTATACAGTTTCATATCATCATTTGACTTGTCGAAAGAAAAAAAACAGTGATTAGCCATTTCCTTTTCACAATTTAATCGGCTTTAATTTCTGAAAGTTATTAGGGTTTTTTCTCTTTTCTTGATAATTTTGAAATAAATTTTTTTACAAAGACCTGAATTGAATAATCTTTAACAATAAATTATGGAGGAAAAGTCTATTGGATCATAGAGAAACCAAACTTGCCTTTCGTTCGGAAACATAGTGTTTTGGTGAAGTTAGGCTACCAACATGTCTAGATTCTTACGTTATCGTTTTTTTCTTTTCTTATAAATCCGTCGAGCTAATATTGATTATGACTGTAATTTATAATTATGATTTATCGCATTCACAAGAGATAACTTATAGTTAGAGTACATGTAACATATAGTTAGAGTATATGTCTTTAGTTTTTTTTAATTATTTTTTTGGCATTTGCCTTTAGATTTTAGATTCTTACGATAAATCCATAAATTAAATGAAAGAGAATAATTTATCATGCCGTACTCGTGTTTCTTGTAGATGATAAAGATAAAACAATATAAAGGAATAATAAATTGACGATATGACAAAAAATGAGTGAGAAATGGGTTGGGAAGAGGGGATGGATCTAAACACATCGTGGGTCCTATATATTCCCCTTGGCCCTTACAGTGAAATTTCACTTCTTTTTCATTTCTTAATTTTACATTTTGAGTTCAATAACCACTTACAAAACATTTTTAAAGACACTAAGAATCTTTATCTTTATAGATTCATATGTTATATATAACAAAATTATATCTCTCCCCCAAGTCAGATATGTTCATGTTTCAAATGAGCTTATGTATTCTATAAAATGAATTTAAATTAATAATTTCATTATCAATGAAAATTTACATTCTTAGCAAAAAAAATTTTTTTTTTAAATAATTTAGGGAAAAAAAGAATATGTAGAAATAGAAACTTCATTCAATTTCAGTGATGGTAATATTTTGATAAATTAGATTACTTATGTATTAAATGTAAATTAAAATTTATTTTGTAAATATCTTTAACTTATGAAAATTATATTTAAAGAGCTTAAATTTACCATTTTAACAACTAGACTAAAAAGTGATTGAAAACACATGGATGGATTGAATTGAACTTTCTAAAATTCTTTCACCTACCAGTTTTTGCAGTAGTTATATAAAAATGTATTTACTTGTATATAGGTATTTCTTATAAGTTTATGTAGTGGTGGACTAGTGGTTGAGTTCTAGTTTTTTAGATGGTCATGTAATTTTCAAACTCCAAGCATATGGTATTTGACTATTTGCAATAGTAATCACATGTGTAAACCAAAATAAAAGCTCTTCCACCATATTAAAATGTGTATATAAATAATATTTTTTTGCAAAAATATGACGATGTTTGGAAGTGGCCATTATTTGTAATTTTTATTTATTCAGTTAGGCCATTATCTTGCTGTTTATAATCACTTTATATATATAATTATTTTGTGAATAAATCCCTTCCAATTCCATTCATCATTTGTTTTAAAATTAAATTTATGAAAAAATGAAAATAATTACAATATTTAAGACTTTAAGTATACAAGAAGAAGATGCCTAGAGTGAAGATGACAGAAAGGAAACTACAATGATGTTGGTTTATCTACATTTCGTTTTTCCCAGTTCCTCCTCTGCCTTCTTCATGATTAATTAGCTTGTAATACTGTCTACAAAGATCAAACTGCACAATGGGTTTAAATCTCCATCTCCTGTCTTTTGTCTGGTCGAGTTTCCATAATTCCAGACATGACTAATGGTGTTTGAACAATTGCTGAAGACAATGATGAACAAGAGTGTTTATGACCAAAAAGATTTGCTTCTATGTCACCAACAAAGAGCTTCAGAAAGCAGAGAAATGAGAGTTTTTGAACGCTTACCCATTTTTTAAGGCATTGAATCACCTCTTGCTTTTATCTCCATCTTCTGTGAGAGCTAAAGAGTTACTACTGGCACTCTTTTTCACTCATCCAATTCCAAACTTGGAGTAACAATTGGCAATGTTGTCAGAAACGAATCGCCTCTCATATTTTTAGCCAAACCGTCGATTGCATCATAAATCTCACCAGAGTGAGGATGCTCTTGATCTCTAGACACAAAACAGTTGACATGACCTGCAACTTCAATCCCACTACGACCAACTTCTTTCTTTAAACCCTTTTCTCTCATTCCTTTCCTCACTCTATCAACGCTCTTCCAATTTTGTTCCTCAGCATACATATTCGAGAGCAAAACCTCGTACCCGGAAAAGTTCTTCCCTTTATCTAATTTAGCTAACCTCTCTGAAACAGTTTCAGCAAGCTCAAGCTCACCGTGTAGTCTACAAGACCCGAGTAGTGAACCCCACAGCTCAGCTATGTTCCCTTCTTCACCAAGTCCTTTAACAAACTCGTAGGCTTCATTAACCCGCCCAACTCTTCCCAACATGTCTGTAATGCAGCAATAGTGCTCACTTGAAGGCTGAATGTTATAAACTTCTCTCATGTCCTCGAATATTTTGAGACCTTCATCCACTAGACCTGAATAGCTGCAAGCTGATAACACTGCAACAAAGGCGATAGCATCGGGTTTGATTCCCAACTCTTGCATTGAGAGAAACAGCGAGATGGCTCTCTCGCCCATTCCATGTTGACCATACCCCAATATCATTGTGGTGTATGTCACGGAGTTTCTCTCTTTTGTTTGAGAAAACATGTTTTCTGCATACTTTATTGCTCCTGCCTTTGAATACATATCTACTAACGCAGAAGCGACAAATACGTTCTGATCCAAGTATTGCCTGATAGAGAAACCATGGAGCTGTTTACCTAAGTCAACACTACCTACTTGGCTACAAGCAGGGAGAATTGATGCCACAGTTACCGCATTAGGTCGGATATTCTGTTCTAACATCTTCCTGAACACTAGAAACGTTTCCTCTGTGTGTCCATTCTGCGTGTACCCGGAAATCATAGAATTCCAAGTAGCTTGATCTCTTTCAGCATAACCACTTCCTTCAAAAAGCTTCTGTGATATCCTAATTAGACCTGACTTAGCATACATGTCGATAAGGTAACTATTCATTCCCTCAAACTGAATGCCTTGCCTGATAAGGAAACCATGAGTCTGCTTCCCGATCTCTTTGTTTCTAAGATTTGATGCAGCCGAAAGCAAAGCTGTCACAGTTATGTAATCAATCTTAAACCCTTGCTTCTGCATCTCGTAAACCAGCATCAATCCTTCATCATCTAGGCCATTTTGGACAAATGCAGAGATCATAGTGTTCCAAGATACAACATCTCTCTCTCTCATCGAATGAAAGACTCCAAATGACTTTTGCACAAAACCACACCTTGAGTACATCACCATCAACGAGTTAATTATCACAATCGGTAGCTCTCGAAAGTTCTTGCTCACAAAACCATGAAACTGCCTGCCCAATTCTACTTGCTGTAACCCCGAAACAGCACTCGCTGCCAAGAGGAACGTTACTTCGTCCGACACAATCTCTTTCGATCCTATTGCTTCAAGAAAAAGCTCAATACTTTCAACTAGACAATCATTCTGAACATAAACACCTATCATCGTATTCCAAACCTCGATGTTTCTCTCAACACAAGAATCAAATACTCTCCTTGATGACTCCAGATCACCAAGCTCAGCATACATAGAAATAGCCGAACTAACCACAAACAAGTCCTTCACATATTCATCTCCCAATTTAAGCATCAAACCATAAAAAACATTAGCTTTCTTAATGCTTCTAGAAGTCGCCACCGCAGGAAAAACATTAACAAAGCTAACCGGGCTCGGTTTTATCTCCATTCTCATCATTATCGCAAATTGCCTACACGCTTCTGCATTTCTCCCTGTTTTCACATACCAAGAAATCAACGTATTCCAAGCCACAACGTTCTTCCTACGCATATTATCGAAAACTTTACGCACCACATCGTACTCAAAACAATCCAATTCACTTCCAGGAGCATTCAAACAAGAAACATACATATTCATCAAAGAATTATGCACAACCCTGCTCGAATTCTGTAAACAACGGATCAAATGACAATGCACAGCTTTACCAGCTTTCAAATTCTTCGTCTCAGCACACGCCTTGAGTGTAGAAGAGTAAGTATAAGCATCACATTTAGTGAAAGGTGCCGTCTTTTTCATCCGGGAATAGAAAAGAAGAGCCTCGTGTGGCAGATTATTACAAATAAACCCGATGATGATAGTGTTCCAAAGAACAGTGGTTGGTTTAGGAATTGCGTCGAACAGTTGGCGTGCAAGTTGAGGATTTCCTTCTTGACAGATTTTACTGAGACGGGAACGGATAGAAGGTGTTTGAGGAGTGAGGGTTGGTGGAGAAAAGGTAGAAGAATGACGGGTTTGATTCTGCGACGGAGATTGTAATGATAGTGGTGGAGGCGGTGGAAGAGGTAGAGCTGATCCGGCCATTGAGAAGGAGATGATGAAGAAAAAGGAAGAGCCTTTATTGGCTCTGTTTTCTTCAATCTATCTCTCTATGTTATCATCTTTTTAAGGTTCAGTGATATGATAAGAGTTTGTTTTGTTAGTTTTTTTCAGCTGACTTTACGAAATTTCTTCTATATTATCCGCAAAATATCAGTTTTTGCCGAGAACTATATTACGTAATTTTTATTTTATATTTGCGTATTCGAAATCTTTTTGTTTTGGACCTTTGTCCGTCTATTTTAGGCCTCTAGGATGGCTTACATAAAGCCTAAACTTGTCCTATTAATGGGCTTTAAGTAACTTCTTTTTGACGACGGAACTTTTTCGAGTCGTCCAAACCCGTAGGCGTGGACGTTCGGATATTTGGATTGAGTTTGGATCGGATTTTTGGGGTTTGGGATCTAAAAGTTTAAGATCTGTCTTGGATATTTCAAAATTTTGGTTCGGATTAGGTTCAGTACAGATTCGGTTCGGATTATCCACATATTCAAAATCAAATTTTTTTAATACAAATCTATTAAATTAATTGAAAATTCCTAAGCAACGAATTTTTTTACTTGAATATATCCACAAATAAAAAACGAAAAAATACTCAAAATAATCAAAAAATCAGATATTTTAGGTATTTGGCTTATTACAGGTAAAAATATTACTAATATAACATTAGTATATACATATATTTCAAAGAGGTAACCTTAGTTTTCCATTGATTTTGTTTGTGAATATCTCTAGAACGATTTTGATTTTAGGGTTTTTGTAGAATTCTGATTTTTGAACAACTTATTAGTTTTGTAGCATTCGCTCATTTTTTTTGTGATTTTGTTTACCTTAAAACAGATTTTGTTCGAGAACGTTGCAATTTCCAATTACTCTAAAAGAAGTTAAAGACTTAACTTCTAAGCGTAAAATTATCGAAGAATCAGTAAACAAAACCAGCAAAGTCATTGATGCAACTACAATATATAGGACTAACTTCTCCTCGTGAACATGTAAATTATAAAACTCTTCAAGTTCTAAACTAATTATGTCTAACCTTAAACTTTTGATTGTTGCTTAGATATAATTGTTTTTGATTCTTCAGGATCTTCATAGACTTGGACAATACCTTCCGTTACTCTTTAACTTGGTTCACTACACCGATAAGATTAAGCGGGTTTAGAATCTCAAGATAAGATGGAGTAGTGGATTGATCTCTCAGACCTTGATTCAGCGTACATGTCCGAAATTCTTCCAAGTCGATAACATAATGTTCGAGCTTGGGATGGTACTTTTCGTTTACACAGTTAAACTCCATGAGAGAGCAATGAAACTAGTATCCACATGTTAGTCTTTTTCTTGTAGTTTTTGCTTCTATATATTTTTGCTTTCATTAACTTAAAATCTTCTTGCTCCTGATTTCAACAGATTCTAAGAAATCGGTAACAGTTTACCGAGAAGCATCTGGAGTTTTCCATCATCTCTCTCATGAGCTTCTTCCTTCATTAAAACTTTGTCTGCCTCCAAGGAAGCTTCCGGAACTAACTCCTCCCCTTTGCTCTTGTTTGAGTCTCCTCTATTTAGCTGAAGGTCAGGTTAGTGAGTTTTACCTTAAATTTGTACAAGAGATCTTCTTACCTTATAATTTACCTGTTCACAAGCAGAAGTTAGTCCTATTGTAGTTGCATCAGTGACTTTGCTGGTTTTGTTTACTGATTCTTCGATAATTTTACGCTTAGAAGTTAAGCCTTTAACTTCTTCTAGAGTAATTGGACCAACTGATTGCAACGTTTTCTCAAACAAAATCTGTTTTAAGGTAAACAAAAACACAAAAAAATGAGAGAAGGCTACAAAACTAAATAACTTGTTCAAAAATCAGAATTCTACAAAAACCCTAAAATCAGAATCGTTCTAGAGATATCCACAAACAGAATTAATAGAAAACTAAGGTTACCTTTTTAGTTTTAAAAGGATCGGATTCGGGTTTTCGGGTTTTAAAAGGATCGAATATTTGAAAAGCTACACTAATAATGACATATCTATTAGACTAAGTATAGTCAACAAACCGGTTATGCAAAGCTTGTAATATCATTTAGGTTCTATTGACTATACATATGTAGTCTAATACTAATTAGTATCGAAATATCGAAAAGAGAAACAAAAAAAATCTTAGGAAGAGAAAGATATTCAGCAAAAATACTAAAAAAAGTGCAGTCTCTGTATTATGCTTTTGATTTGTCAAAGTAAACGGTGATTTAGCAATGATCGTATTCGTATACTAGGATATGACCCGCAGTACACCGCGGATTAATTATTTGATTTTTTTTATTTTTATAAATTGATGAATTTATTGTGTATAATATTTTTTGTTGTATACCGCGGGTAACATGCGTTGTATCTAAAATAAAAAATTTTAAGTTGTATTTGTTTTGTTTAGTGTTTAAGATTGTATAATTGTATTTTGATTTGTTATTTATAGGATTTCACCTGTGGTATATTGTCTCGTATTAATATTGACCCAAACCCGTCCAACCATATAATCTAAAATGAAATTAAACATCATTTTGTTATTTTTTTAATAACACTTTTATTTAAATGTCATATAATTCGAGTTAATTTGAAAGTTGCTTTCAAATAGTTTCCATGTATATTTTTAAATTAGTGTGTGTTTTTGGACCAACCCATAAAAACAATTTATAATTGTATCTTAAAATACTAATTAGAATTTCACCCGTGATATACTGTCCCATTTTAGATAATTGTAAAAATTAAAGAAAGATCCGAATGACTCAATTTCGGGTCTGAATAAAATAACGACATGATTAAATGCTCAATTTGTTCTTAAAAATGTTAATATAGATTACACACATATTTTTATTCATCGATTGAGTAATATATGTCCGTTTTAAAAAATTTGAATTGTAACATATGCAAAAAAAAAAACTAAAATTTACTAACTATTTATATATTTTATAATAATTTAAAATAATATAAATATAAGATCAAATAAAAGTGAAATAAGAATCATATATTTATGTTTAAATTAGGTAGAGAGGTTTTAGGAAATTAGTGCAAATTTGTTATATTAGCATTAAATCATCATATTTGATTTCTTTATCTATAAAAATCGTGGAGAATATACCATAAATAAAGCGTTTAAATATAGTAATTAGTTGAGAAAGTATATATATTTTAGATTTATTAATTATTTTCGTTTTTTAATTTTGCCAAAATTTAAGGAAAGATCCGATTGAAGATTTCCGGGTCAAAATTAAATAAATTTGACCCGATTTGGGTACCCCAAAAACTGCTGCAAAAATGTATAGTAGATACAATGACAAAATGTACTATATATTTATCGTGCATGCATAGTGATTATAGGCTCCACATACATGTATTATTTATACGCATGCGTTTCTTTTTGCAAGTGTGAACTGCATTCACTTCTTCAACATGAACGTAGCTTCAATATACTTTATTTCTTTGTTTGTCATCAAACAGTGGATATGTATTATTTGATATATATGAAACACATCGATTGCAACAAAAATATAACGTACGTGGATATGTTATACTTTGGTGCTGGAAATATGTTTACGAAATCGCAAACATAATTTAGCCATTAGCCACTGTAATTTTGAATAATTTTGTCAGTCGGATTACCATGTTATCAAACTCTAGCTAGTTTCAGAGTTAACTAAATGTAGCGTAATAAAATTCAAATCCAGACAAAAATATAGCAGAGAATATACGTTGAAGGATCATCTGAAAGAAATGATAAGAAATACGTAATAGATAATTATTTGTATACTGTATACAATACAATCATGATTGTCACGAAATTTTAGAGTTCTGATATTTTTGTGCAACAATATAATACTATAATAAATAATAGTATCTTTGGCATCTTTAGGCGCTAAACGATAGTTATAAATTTATTTTTTGGGGGAGCTTGTAGTTGCAGAATAGACGTCTCGAAATCAATAATAGTACGTATACTAAGGGCATCATCAATGGGGGATCATGTGAGGGTGTTCTTATAGAGAATATAATGTTAAAATAATGTAAGATCATGTGTTTAGATCTTTTGTTTAGAAGTTGATTAGTGGGAGAACATGTGTAAGATTTTAAGACTTAATAATATAATAATCTAAATTAAATTAAGATTTTACAATTATTAAAACATTTAAAAATAACATATAAATTGCAAATGCCAAATTTATGAAAAACTGAAAATAAAAGTGAAAATACAATACTAAATATTTATGAAAAAAACATTAAAAATATAAATAACAATAAACAAACAAACATATTACTTAATAAAAGCACAAAAACATTTTATCTAATTAATACATAGTTTATTATCCAAATTTATTCCAAATATGTTGAATATTCCAACCAATGCCCAAATGCCACGTCACCCCGCAACACCCACAAGAACAGATCCAGGTCAAGAGCCCAGTTCCTGATCTTAAGCCCATTGACCCATTTTTTTGGATTTAAATAATGCTTAGATCAGGGGGGTGATCCCCCAATGCAGATGGTCTAAAAGATAAGACAAAAGATCAGTATAAAACTAATAGATAAAAATCTTCAAAATCAATAATACTAAGAGATCAAAGAAATTAGTAATAACAAAAATATATTTACTTTGTATATTTTAAATGAAGTGACGTTTTTCATTATTTTTATTTTATTTTCAAAACCAATGTAATTTTGAATTTTTGATATAAAATGTGGCTTAAAATAAATAAATAAAAAGAATCAAAGTTTTATCAACAAAAAAAAAGAATCAAAAGTCAACTTGCTTTGCAGAGGTATAACAGAGTTCTTCTACTTCTTAATTTGTGTGAAAAAAACATAAAAATATATTTATTATTAGGATATGACCCGCGGTACACCGTGGGTTAATTATTTGATTTTTTTATTTTTATAAATTGATGAATTTATTGTGTATAATATTTTTTGTTGTATACCGCGGGTCACATGCGTTGTATCTAAAATAAAAAATTTTAAGTTGTATTTGTTTTGTTTAGTGTTTAAGATTGTATAATTGTATTTTGATTTGTTATTTATAGGATTTCACCTGTGGTATATTGTCTCGTATTAATATTGACCCAAACCCGTCCAACCATATAATCTAAAATGAAAATAAACATCATTTTGTTATTTTTTTAATAACACTTTTATTTAAATGTCATATAATTCGAGTTAATTTGAAAGTTGCTTTCAAATAGTTTCCATGTATATTTTTAAATTAGTGTGTGTTTTTGGACCAACCCATAAAAACAATTTATAATTGTATCTTAAAATACTAATTAGAATTTCACCCGTGATATACTGTCCCATTTTAGATAATTGTAAAAATTAAAGAAAGATCCGAATGACTCAATTTCGGGTCTGAATAAAATAACGACATGATTAAATGCTCAATTTGTTCTTAAAAATTTTAATATAGATTACACACATATTTTTATTCATCGATTGAGTAATATATGTCCGTTTTAAAAAATTTGAATTGTAACATATGCAGAAAAAAAAACTAAAATTTACTAACTATTTATATATTTTATAATAATTTAAAATAATATAAATATAAGATCAAATAAAAGTGAAATAAGAATCATATATTTATGTTTAAATTAGGTAGAGAGGTTTTAGGAAATTAGTGCAAATTTGTTATATTAGCATTAAATCATCATATTTGATTTCTTTATCTATAAAAATCGTGGAGAATATACCATAAATAAAGCGTTTAAATATAGTAATTAGTTGAGAAAGTATATATATTTTAGATTTTATTAATTATTTTCGTTTTTTAATTTTGCCAAAATTTAAGGAAAGATCCGATTGAAGATTTCTGGGTCAAAATTAAACAAATTTGACCCGATTTGGGTACCCCAAAAACTGCTGCAAAAATGTATAGTAGATAATTGGAAATACATTAATGCATAATATCCCAAAACCTTCACAATCATATATACGTAGGAAACTAAGCAGAGTACGTAAATGCCCTCTCTACTAAATTTAGTTAGAATAGTATCCATTGTATAACTTTGAAAAGATATCAAACTAATTCAAAATCTGATTCGTTCAATCAATTAGAAAAGTTGGATTGGTCCTTATAAATTTTCATTCGAATAAAAATTAATTTTTGAGAAGAATCAAACATTTTTAATAGAAAAATACTTCAAAACTGATAAATTTTATATTATCTCATGTTCCCTCGCAATTTTATGTATTAGAAAGATCACTTCTTCGTTTGTCCAAAAAAAAAAAAAAATGAAAGATCACTTCTTCATACGCATACGTCAATATTTTTGAATTATTTTGTGGCTATTAAGATTTACTTTTTGTAACTTAAGAAATATTTACAGCGTATAAGTATTTTGATGATAATGTTTGGTATTTTGTGATGCTTATTACGATATAAGGCATCTTTTTCCCTAAGGTGCTGAAAGTTTGAATTGATGCTTGAATTAAAAAAAAAAAAAACATAAGGTGTTGAATCGAAAAAGAATTAGAAGATCGGATTCCAAATGGTTTTAGAAATTCCTTGTTGCAAACCACATACATCTTCGTTATACTTACATAACTAAATAGCTTTTCTCAACAAGAAATCAAACTAGAAAAACTAGACTACGTACCTTTTTAGAGGGGTTTAACTCTCACCACTAGCTAGCTAGTCAGCTAGTCCAACTATCTGTTGTTGGTTATCTTGTTGTAATAACTAATGTTTAGACATACGATTGCATGAAAATAGTTTTTAGAAGTTCCGAACTATCTTTTCTTTCAAACAAAACCTC